CAATGTACCTTAGTGCGGTCTAAGATCCATTCTGTATGGCAATCAGTTCAGTACGGGCATGGACGTTGATTTTACCCATAACCGTCTCTCTTTGAAAAAGCTGTGACACACGCATGGCGTTCTTCACGTCATCACACACGGTCACGGTCATCCAGTTAACTTTCCTTACAAAGGAGAAAATAGGTACTTTTTAGGGTACTTTAGGCGTCATAGAGGATGTTTGGATGGGTCCGGTATGAAAGTTGTACTAGAGGGTTAGGATTAGGATTCAATATTTTACGGAGCCTTCTGTACCAAATTCTTGCGGTTTCGAGGACAGAAGGGATTTTATGATCTGTGAATAGTAAGATTTCAGTACGAAATACATTGGGCAATTGTTCGAATGTTTTTGGATTGGTGTAACTAGATTCTTTAGATGTTGGAATGCTTTGGTGAACTCCAAGCTCGATTCCGTACGTCTAGATTGGTTGTACTCATATGTATGTAATGAGGCGTTTGATTAGTAGTGGGAGATTCGATGTGTTGCAAGTCATTTGAGTAGTTTATATCGTCGGTTCAGTTCTATTTTTTTAGTCAAAAGTGGGGGTTCCAATTAAGCTTTTTGTAGATATAAAATCACAAATAGCAGAAACATTGGTTGCTTGGAGAGCGACAGATTGGAGGAATGTGATTCACCGAAGAGTGAAGGTTATTTTCTTGGATTTGATTACGTTGAGTCTGAAACTGCTTTTCTTGAACCCTTCATCCTGAACAGGATAGATGGTCCTGGCCACTACTATGGCTGTGCTTGCTGAAAAAAAGGTCTTTGTGAGGAGTACTGTTTCGGGATTGATAGGAATGTTTGAAGTTATACACTGAATAAAGAATAGGACCAAGGATGCCGCCTTGCGAAACACCCGCTTCGGCACAGTGAATGGGAGAGAAAGATGTACTTAAAAATAACAGAGTAATCCCGGGTGCCACACTTGATCGAAGTTTGCCCAATATAAGAAAGCCCCACAGCATTATTCCTTCCGCACATAGGAGGACTCAATGATGTCTGCCACCATGTAGCACTGATTATTGGTTGAATGATGTTGCAAAAAATCGAATGGATGGAATGGAATAACATAGAATGAGAAATAGGTGTTTTTTTCAGTTAGTTTTGTTAAATTTCTGGTCTGCCCGTTCGTTTTGGGCTTACGACTGTTGTTTATGTTGGTACGTTTGCCTCCTATTTGTAATTAATTTTGTTAGTAGCAACGAAAGACTTTAAATTCCAAGGATCCTCTGCTCCTCCTTTCCATCGCATTATTTATTTATTTTTGTCAGTTTGTCTTCTATTTTTGGGCGAACCTTGTCAACCATAAATTACAGATTCACTAGTTCTATCTCTGAATATTTATTGGGTAGTTTGCCTCTTATTATGGTTGCAGTTAATGCACTATGCTTTGAATAACTGCTTAGTTTGTCTTTTTACCTCGTACTTTAAAGGTTAAATTGAAAAACGGCGAAAAGGAGGGAAAATTCGAAAGGGTGGGTTGAGATGGGAAGTTGGTGTCCGAATGGATCGAAGTCTCGATAGCTCAAGTGGTAGAGCAGCCGCGTATTTAGCCGAGGGTCGTAGGTTCGAATCCCTCTTGTGACACTGACATTTTTTATCTCAACCAATACCTTATATAAAGATTAATTAATTGAAAAACGTTAAAAGGAATTTTAGGCCTAATTTTTCTGGTCTACCATCCCAATGATTCTGATTATTGCTGGTTGGTCAGTTTGTGTTAATTTTGGTAAAAAGATCCTAAAACCCAAAATTTCTAATCCACCTGTTTCCCAATGTGGAGCAGTTTGACAACCACTTTTGAATTTTTTTTTAAACCAATAAGAAATATTTCTCCTCCCTACCATTCTTTACTGCTGTACTTATTTTACTTTTGAACACAAAGTGTTTATTGATGCTTACGAATATTTTTCTCTTCAAATATAAATTTATTTGACACATAAACATTATTAAATTGTTCTTATTTAAAAAAAAGATTGCCTTCAAGATCAAACATCAGGCTTTGTCGACATCATCAATCAAAAATAAATTTGTATTCTCACACCTCTAGCCCACTTTCAAAAACAGCCGGTTTAATATACAAGAACCACAGAACCAAACCCTAATGACATCAAAGGACAACGAGACTGGCAAACACCTAATCCCAACCAATCCCGACTAATCCCGGCCGAACCCTCCCATTAATTCCCTTTGTCTACATAAACCGATGATCAAAAGAGCTGACTTGTCAGTGGGGGAAAAATATAGTGATAAGGCCGATAATGACAATTTTCAAATTAGAAACAAAATATCTATAATTAAACTATTATTTTGTTATTAATTATCTGCTGGGTTTGAACAGTTTTTTATTTTGCATTATTACACCTGAGAGTCTACCTTCATCCACGGTTTCGTAAATAGTCATCCAAGTCTCACACGGTGAGGTCTCTTTAAACACTGAAAACAAGTAGGAAAAAAGTATTTTCTTTGACCCCTTGCCCGCCCAACCCTATATGATATGAATTAATTTACTTGTACTTTTTAGATTCATCATCCTCCTATTCCCCATTGTGTTCGTGATTATTGTTTGATTGGTTAATTTGTCTAGTATTTTGGCTTAATTTCTTTTAGACGATTTTTTATACGATTAGATTTTAAAAGCTTTTTGCGAGGTTGAATCTAATTAAGGTTTTTTTTTTAAATTGAACCTTAAGATTTTAAGTTTTTGGTACGCCTGTTCGATTATCAATCTTCTATTTGTGATTCATTTTGTTAATGATTGTTGCCGTTTCATTGGTTAATTTGATTTAAAAAAGTATTTTACCCTTAATTCAAGTCCACCTATTATAGGGGCGTCGGTGGCCGCAACGGTTTAGGCGTTGGCACGGCTCTCATCATTGTAGTAAGGTAAAGGTCCTGGGTTCGAATTCAAAAACACCGGCACCCTGAGGGTTTATGTGACCTCTGCTGTTGCGGACCCTCGTAAAACAACCTGTTCTCCCTCAGCTTCTTATTGTTAGCTAGTAAGCACGCCTTAGTTTAAGTTAATTTTGTTTTAAAAAATCCTCATAATTATTCAGAAATCGTGAGATGCGGTCTGGTGTGATGTAGGTTTCAGAAAAACATTTTCTTTATCCTGCCAACGTTTCGATCTTTATTGAGATCATCTTGAGGGCCTGGGATTTACAAACATTGTATAAATTTAACAAACATGTAGGATGAGGAAAAAAGTGAATTTATACAGTGCAAAATATATTTTTTATATTCAATCAAAGTATTTCTACTCACTCAAAGTGTTTCTCTTCTTTGTAATTGTGCCATTCTTGCGTGTCGTGCTGAGAGTGCCAGTGAGATATTGAAATAAATTCACTTTTTTCACATCCTACATGTTTTTGTTAAATTTAAACAATGTTTGTAAATCCCAGGCCCTGAAGATGATCTCAATAAAGATCGAAACGTTGGCACGATAAAGAAAATGTTTTTCTGAAACCTACATCACACCAGACCGCATCTCACGATTTCTGAATAATCATCGACTAACGGTCACTAATCACGACACAATCCTCATAATTTATATTTCCGCTTCCTCTTTCTTACCCTCTTTTTTTAATCGTTGCCTTGGTCGGTTTGTCACTTATTTGACATTGATTTAGGTAAAAGGAGCAATAGTCCTTCAATTACTGGTCTGGCTGTTCGTCCCAAGTTTCCAGATTATTCTTAGTGTGCTTCTAATTATTGCTTGCTTGTTAAGTTTATCTTTTACCTATTTATAATTTATGCTAAAACGGGGACCAGCGTAACTTTATTTTTTTATAGTCAACCCAACGAGACTGTAAATAAGGGGCGCAACCCTTAAACTGTAGTATTTACTTAATTAAATCCTTTTACTCCTATAAGACCTCTCTACCTCTGGAGGACTTATCCCGGAGCATAAGGGAAGATAAATTATAAGCCGTAATATTGCAAGAAAAAAATAAAACCCCTAATCTTTACTTTGTATGTACATGTTGTCTGTTATATAATTTTAATTGTATAAAATTCATATACAACGTGACAAACATGGCAACAAGAGAAAAAAAATCGAGACTCTTATAATAAGAACGGATTGTAAATTTATAATAGTGAAAAGATCATATTGAAATTTGTTGATTTATTCTGTAATAGATGTCACGTAAAGGTTAAATGCGTCAAGAATATGATTATGATGTTCTGAGAGGAAAACAAATTGCCACCTTATAAGGTCAAAAAGCATGACTATCCCATTTACAAAATCAAATTGTCATGTCTTGTTTATGAGCTTTCCTCTTAAAATGGACTTTTTTTATTACTACTCTTAAATCACTCTGAAGGCACCTATAAACCGAGGTTAACTAAAAACAGGATCAAGTCACAAAAAGCTTTAATCTACTTGGGTACTTTTAATTAACGTGATTAGGAAGCTTCTCGTTTTACTTAAAAGATCTGACGTATTGCCAATCCTTATGAATAAATTATATTTGGGATTTTATTAGAGATGTCAAGTTCGATGGCCGAAATGATCGAAGTTTTAAACCTTGTTAACATAATTTGGGAATTTTGTCAGATGGTCGATATGACTCGGCCAATATGTGTTATTGGATTTGACATTTCTGCCGTTTCTATCTCGGATTCGTCCAGCCAAATATCTCCAGGGCGATTTTCCGGGTGCGGGATTTCACTCTTGCGAGGGTCATGGCCGGCGGGGGTCCCACCCTGGAGAAATAACTGTGGTTCTTTGGAATGTGGCGTTGATGGGTCTCGAAACTATACGAAAAAATAATGTAAACTATGAACTTACGATTAATAGACCAAGTATTAAATAATTTAAATGCATATAACGATTCCAAATCGACTATCAGGCTAGGCAGAGGAAAAATGACTTAAAAGAACTTTGTTTAAAAAAACTGAAAGAATATTATAGTCTCTTGAACAGTATAAAATTTAAAATAAAGAGTTAAATTACCACTGTAAAAATTGTTTTTATCCTGGTTGACTTCTGGAAAGAAACTGTTTAGTCAGATATGACTATATGAGCCCAGGTAGGGATAGAAAGGAGACAACAAGGTCATGGAGGGGAGTCATCAAATCGGTGGGGACGCTACTATATTTCGAGGATGTTGTTAATTATTGTGCCATTTTATGATAACATATCGTTCGAAATGATAAAAACGACAATCTTTTTGATTACCGAACGGTGATTATCGAATTTGCAGGTCATCGTGGGAGAACGTTGCAAATCGCTGTTTGACTCGGCTCGACTTCCTTCATAGGAATTTTCCACTGATGAGCGACTTTATTTGTTGAACTCGAACGCTTCTGTCAGGAAAAAGGACGGAGATTAAGCAATTCGTAACTAGTATTTTGTTGATACTGTTGATTAACTGTCGTAAATGTATGATGGGTGTTTGTCTGCGAGTCGATGAACTCATACTGAACCGGCGACAGTTCGAAAAGCAGCCGAACAGAAGCCAAAATGTATGAATTTGCGAGAACTGTGGAATAAAATAAAAATACTATAACGGTACCTGACAAAATGAGAGGAACACTCAACTATTGCTAGTAGTAAATGACATAATCACCGATGTTAACAGCTTATAGGCAACGCAAATGGCTTGGTAACAACAGTGAAGGGAAAATTTGTTCACGCTGTGTAGAATAAAATGCATTATGCCCTGAACATTGTAGAAAATGGTAAGAAAAGATAGGAGCTAAACCTAAAAGGACCCACTTATAAAAGCTAAAAGCTTGTTACTCCATCCAAAGAAAGCACCATGGCCAAAGGCTCATGTGGAAAACTCATACGACAAGACACTACTAAGCATTAGCCAGAGATTATGTAGGAAAATTTGGTGAATAAACCGGAAGATGGCGAACATGTTATACACTAAAATGGTTAGACCTTAAATATACAGTAAATGTCAACCCTAAGAAAACATCTCTAAGGAAGCTAAATTTAAAAGCACCCATTATAAAAGAAGAAACCTTTTCCACAGAAACTAAGTATCTAATTATAACCCTTGATCAGAGAATCAAATGGAGAAGTCATATAGGCAATATATTAAATAAGCTCGAGACACAATTAGGCATTGGTGAGAAATTATGCAGCCAAATCAAAGCGAATAATTTATACATTAAAATTTTCAGACTGTAAATATTAACCCTACGAAAACACCCTTTACAAGAAGGAAGCTAAACTTAAAAGCACCCACTATGAACTATGAAATATGAAGCCTTCTCCCAAGGGCATTGGTTACACCAGTATAGAAATGAAACTTTTTTGAGCGATGATTTCATCATATCAGGTGTTTCTGAATGGGTTTTCAGTGCTGATTCTGAATATGACTTCAGTTTTTTCTACCATCTCAGGATTTTTCACAAATCGAATTCAATATAATAGCAAATTTTCTTACCGGAATCAACGAGAACGTCATGTATAAAGTAGCCAAGTTCATTTCTAGGTTAGTTTTTGAATTTTCTTTTCTTGGTTTTCCGTGTTGACACATCATCCTTGCAGTCTCGATTCAGCATCCAACAGTAGTCTGCCATCATGCCCTAACCATCGAATTCCAGTTTTCTGAAAGGAGACACTTTCCATTTCTCTTATATCCTGGTGGAACCTTTCACCATGCTCCTCGCTGAAATTACCAAGATTCTTGGGGAAATAGTCTCCGTGTGAGTGTAGAAAATGTTCTTTCACGCTCATATTGCATCCTAGTTCTTGAAAGGTCTTCAGCATATTACGCACCATACTTTTCAAATCTGGATATTTAAAATTGCCTAAAAAGTTGTCAACGACTGTTTTAAATCCATTCCATGCGAGTTTTTCTTTCATTGACATAGTTTTTATAAACCCTTCATCACGGAAGAGCTGATTAATTTGAGGGCCAATGAAAATGCCTGCTTTTATTTTTTCGGCAGTGATCGCAGGAAATTTCGTAGCCAGGTATTTAAAGACTCACTCTTTTGAGATAAGGCTGTTACAAACTGTTTCATGAGTCCCAGTTTTGTGTGTAATGGAGGGAGGAGTATATTTTGAGGGTCCATAAGGGGGTTATGTTTGATGTTTTTCGTGCCTGGAACAAACTTCGTTCTTCGAGGCCAGTGTTTCACTTTCCAATGTTTCTCTCTGGCTAGAATGTCCCATTCACACAAAAAACAAGGTAGTTTAGTAACCTACTTGCTGTCCAAGCAACAAGCCAATTAATTTGAAATCCCCGCATATCCTCCACTTATGCTCCTCATATTTTATCAGGGTCAGCAAAGTTTACCGAGTGGGCCAAAGGTATGGATGCATATTTATTTCCATTGTGGAGTAACACTGCTTTGAGATTTCTCTTGGAGTTATCAATGAAAAGCCTCCAGTCAGAGGGATCATGTTCGGCTTCAAAATCATTGACATTATTACAAAACACGAAATTTTTCTCCTGTGAAAATAAGGGTTTCGGTTCTTTTTCTCTTGTCTGTACCATGCAAAGCTAACACCAGTTTCCACAGATTTTTATTTTTGAGTCTAGACCCAAGAAGTTCAGCTGACTGTTTTGGTAAATATAAATCCCTCGTAAGGCCATTCAGTTCACTTTGAGTAAAACGCTGAGGAGCTCGATCATCTTCAGGAACGAATTCTGGGTAATGAAAGTGGCTGGCTGTATAATTATACACAACGGTCAGACCCTTCGTCACTATAGAGCCATAAACAATGCATGAGGAGACCCAAAACAAACTGCAAAATCTAAAAGTGTGTCTTAATATTACAGGATAAACTTGTCTCTCAACAGCAATAGAAAACCGCACTTGGCATTCCACGCTTACAAATTTATGTACAAAGGGTGGTTTCTACACTAAATAAAACCGAATCTAAAAAGAAGCTATCATAAAATGTTCGAGAGAATTAAAATCAATGAGATAGCCATAACGGTACCTGGCGAAATGAGAGAAAAACTAAACTTGTTCATAAATAACGAAGATTTTTGGAAGAAAGGCTACTGGAAGACTACCTAATATACTACACACTATTGCAAATAGCATCTACCCAAGGATACCACCTGGAGAAAACTAGTCCTATCGACGCTTCTATGGTTGCTGGTAGTAGATGACCTAACCACAAAGATTAACAGCTTATGATACCATACCATTGATTAATTATCACCTCGTAACACTCATAAAACGTGATGAACAATCTCTTGAATCAGATAGAAAGCGCGTAAACATTGGAGGAAAATGGCCTGAGATAATCTACTTAAATATCATCCCTAAGAAAATTTCTCTCCTACCGATCACAAGAAGGTAAACCTAAAAGCACCCACTATAGAAGATGAAGCTTTCACCAAAATGATGATATCTACTTATCATATTTACTGATGAACTAGGACTCACTGGTTAAGTAGTCTTAAGTACAGCTCTCAAAGAGCGCAGTAAATATTATACCCCGAGTATCACATCTTACTTGTTACTTAATTAAAGGTACTTGTAATAAAATGTAAATTAAAAAAAATTAAATAGGTCGAGTGAGCGACAAAACAGTGAGTTTTTGTATAGTGTTGGGCTGTGTTTTCTAAGTTTTTATGCTGGGTCTGTCTTTAGTCTTTTCTGGTATTATATACGGATATTTGGAAAACTCCAGATATTTTACGTTTTTGGCAATACTTGCTTTGACATGGGTGGTATGAATTTCAAAGTTTGAACGGATGGTCTGTTTACCCTGGTTTTCTTGAGTCAGATATTCTTTCCCTTTGACGTTAATGGTTACTAGATATTGATCAAGTTTGTTATAAAACAACATTAAACATAAATGTATTTATGATTTATTTTTTAGTAGAACCTAAGGTTGCCAAAAATAATCCTTTTTTATCTACGTTAAAAAACCACAACATATCGAAGTCATTACGAATCGAAGCTACTTCACGGGCTGCATAAAGGTAGAAAGGATGGTTTCATGATTAGATTGGTAGAACCTCGATGAGTACAGGATGTACGTTTATGCTTCCTCATTATCAGGCCGGCATTTGTCTCCGTCGGATTTTTCAAATGGTAATTTAACAGGCAATGTACAGTGATTCCTGCCACGATTTTAATATTCTGCTAGAGGTAGAAAATTTAGTTTGCTCTTGACTCAGAGAAGACAATAATAAAGGTATTTTGTCGTGAGTAACAATAGGGTTTTAATAATTTATCTTTGTATTATTGCCCGTTAGGGAACTTTTAATTACTGACTCGGTGAAAGTACAAAGTTAAAAACGAGATGGGCTTCTTAATTTCGTCTATATCTCCTGTCCATCTATTTTCGCAGTTCTGAGTGAATCAAATTACCCCATGTTAGTTTCGAGTTGAAAGTAAGATTTTTAAAATCTTCTCAGCTGTTCGTCTTTTATTCAAAGACCTCTTCGCCCCTTGGTTAGAAACGACATAAATAATATACATTTCGACCTGTAAGGTTTTGTAGAGCCCGTTTCAACCTTACGTCAATTTGTTGTTTCCTCACGATTCCACTCGTGTACCATATGGCCGGCCGGGTTGTTCTGGTTTATTTGTGCGAAACAATAAAACCGGCCGAGATCAAGCCATGGGATTTGTATGAAAATACGACAAAGGTAATTTAATGGGAAAATGTAACGAGTGTCTCTGGTATAAACAAAATACCGAATGGCCGAAATTTCCTGCAGAATTCATTCTTTCTGTCAGGATGGAAAGAAATGACAACGAACAGTCTTTCGATCACAAATTTTCCAGGAAAAGTGGAAATACATTGTCTTAATCCAGCTGAAATATACATTTTTTCGAGAAAAAAGTATTGTATTGAATTAACCACATAAGAATGAATTTTTATATTTCTTTAAATTTTTATGAGCGCTTTCATTCTTCATCAATTGTTTTTGCGTAACCAAACTGAAATTAGTTTATGCTGATTGATATTCATGCAACCAGGCGCATCCCATCCTATGCTTCCCTGCACTTCGCAATAGCGACGGTTCATGGGCTACGTTAGGCAAAGGAAAAGCTTCACTCTTCGCTCCACACGTTCCAAAAT